TTCTCAGACAGTGAAACTAAATAAACAAGCTTCTCAGACAGTGAAACTTTTAATAAACAAGCTTCTTAGACAGTGAAACTTTTAATAAACAAGCTTCTTAGACAGTGAAACTAAATAAACAAGCTTCTCAGACAGTGAAACTTTAAATTATCAAGCTTCTCAGACAGTGAAACTAAATAAACAAGCTTCTCAGACAGTGAAACTAAATAAACAAGCTTCTCACACAGTGAAACTAACTAAACAAGCTTTTCAGACAGTGAAACTTTAAATAAACAAGCTTCTCATGCAGTGAAACTAAACGATCTTTTCATACATTCTGTTGTACTTTAACGCCTATAGAAAATGATCGTAATTTTGTTGTCAGTAAAACAACACAACTCACGATGATATACTTTTTAGTCGATACTGAGAATGTGTGGGTGAACATGACGTCACTACTGGCATTGGGATTACTTCCTCATCTTGTATCAATAAAGGAGACGCAGGAATAAGGCAACGTTTAAGAAGAAACGCTGTCGCATTCTGGGAAGTCAAATCTTCCTACGCATGCATTGCATAAAATTGAGGCCTTCCTACACAATGCATTTTAATGTGTATATGTTTATCATCTAGCTTCCTAGTGACCTTATGTTTTTCCAAGAATGCAAAGCTTTGCTGTGATTGGTTTATAGTTAATATATTTTGTTTGGAATTAAGCACAAAGCTACACAATGGGCTATCTGTGGTCTGCCCACCACGGGTATCGAAACCCCGTTTCTAGCGTTGTAAGTCCGCAGACATACCGCTGTGCCACTGGGGGGGGGGCAGTTAATATATAATAGAATTATGTGGTGACGGTGTTTTGGAAAGCTTTCAGTGCAGGAAACTAGTTAACGTGCCTCAGTGTAATTAAACCTTGAGTTAGGCTTAAATCAAATTATAAATTAATACACAGGAACACGGTTCAGCGGCCATATTGACCTCGTTTATTTTGGCGAGTAAACAAACCAGCATGTGGCTTTTCATATAAGGTATGTAGAAGATGCTTAGATGCCCATCTGTATGCTTTCAAACCACTTTGTTATGTTAAATTAACTTTATGGAATCATTATAATAACAGAGCATTGAAGAAAATAATAATCAGTTACATTAAATTATCCCCCAGTAATTATAGGCCTATTATTCTTACATCAATTGTGGGAAAAGTTTGGAAAGTCTGATAAAAGTTTAGAATTTTATTGGATAGTCAACATGGTGTAGATTTGGTGTATCTGGATTTTCAGAAACCATTTGACAGTATTAAGGTTAGTACACTGTTAAGATTATTTCCATCCAAATTATACTTACAGTTCAAATTATGGTAACTCACATGTATTATCTTACATTTATTGTAATTAAAACCCATCTGCCACTCAACACACTAAATAATCTAAATCCTTTTTTCAAACTGCAGTATCCTCTTCACAGCTAGCAACACCCAAGATCTTAATATCATCAGGAAATCTAAGTAACTTATTGACCATTCCTTCATCTATGTCATTGATATAAATCGAAAAGAGCAAAGGTCCTAAGACTGAGCCCTGAGGTACCCCACTTATGACATTAACCTAGTTTGACTGAATTCCATTTATATGAACCCTCTTCTTTCTTCCATCCAGCCACTCTTCTATCCAATTAGCTTAACTTATCCCCCACACCTATAGAGATAATTTTGACAAGCCTTTTATTTGACACCTTGTAAAGTGCTTTCTGAAAATCCAGATACACCAAATATACACCCTTACCCTAATCTACATAAGCAGTAACCTTTTCCTATGTTTGTATTTTATCCTGTTTTAAGTCCTAGGTATTGTAAGTACATTCTGAAACATAAACATCAGAATATAATGAGAAGAGGCAACACGAAGTTACATGGAATAGGTTTGTTCGTATACAGCCAGATGTAAAGTATAGAGCTGATTGTTAACTATAACATAGGCCTAAACAGCTTCCATTTATCGCCCATAGGGTTGTGGTTATCCCACTTATTTTCCTCTTCACTATGAAACCTTACCTTTGAATGTAGTGAGGTTTGATAAGTTATATTTTGTGTGTGGATCTCTATATTTAACCACCTGATGACTTATGGAATGAAGAAAATCTGGTTTGTTTACTCGTCAAAATGCTCAGCCTCGTTTTCGCGACGACCTTGACACACCATATAAGGAAAACCGTGTCCTTGTCTATTCCAAAATGTATTACCCAAGAAAAAACGTCATATCTAATGCGCATGCTCGTCAGTCGGAATATTTTGTAATTTTTATGAATTTAGTAAATTTTTTCGAGCTTAATTTTTTAACCCAATTTCATTGTCTATATAAAGCTCTATGTGTGTGTGTCTATATATATATATATATAATTAAACTTGTCACTGTAAGAAGCGTCAAAAAAAAAAAAAAAAAAAAAAACGATCAAGACTCAGTGAGTAGAAGGATTGTGTCGGGTTGTGTTAAGAACATCTTCTGTGATTGACAAGTGTTGAGTTCTGTGGTCAGAGTTAAATTTGAACTGGGAAACATCATAACATCTTCTGTGACTGATAAG